AACCCCAGATTTGCCTTCCACTTTCCTGCTTCCTTTTCTTTGTCCCTACAGCCCTTTTCTAATTTTTCTCATTTTTTAAGCCTGTTTTCTGCTTCTCTTTTAAAGTGCAACTCAGATGCAGTTTTTCTTTTTTTCCCCATTTAAAAATTTAAAATTTTATTTCTTTTAGTTACAGTTTACATTCAGTATTATTCTTTATTAGCTTCTGATGTATAGCAAAGTAGTTAGAAAATCATGTCCTTTACAGAGGGGTCTTTCCGCTGCTTCAAGCACCCACCCGGCCCCATACATATTTATCTCGATTATTGACGGCATTCCCTATGCTATAATTTACATCTCTGTGGCTTTTCTATAGCTACCAATTTGTGCTGATTAATCCCTTCACATTTTTCACCCAGCCCTAATCCTCCCCTCTGATAGCTGTCAGTCTGTTCTCTGTATCTATGAGTCTGTTTCTATTTTGATTGCTTGTTTTGTTCATCCAATTACACATATAAATGTTTGTCTTTCTCTGTTGGACTTATGTAACTTAGCAAAATACCCTTCAAATGCAGTTTTCTCCTGAGGAGGTCTCTGTAATTCCTTTCTAGGCTGCAAGTCATTGTTACAGCCTTTGAATTTTTGTGAAAGTTTGTGGGTGTTTCTGTTTGAGAATCCTTGTTGTTATTTGTAATCCCGTCATATATTTCCTCCTAGACGGCAGACTCCTGTTGGGTAGGAGCATCCTGACACCTTGCAGCCTTTTCAGGCATCTGGACCAACTCTTTGAACATAGGAGCCCCTTTAGTTATTTATTGGAATTGACAGTATAAAGTGTAGACCCACGACTGGCAAACTCTATAGCCCATGGGCCCACTATCTGTTTGTGAATAAAGTTTTATTGCAACAACCTGTCTGTTCTGCAACTGAATGCCCACAAAGCTTGAAATAGTTACTAACTGACCTTTTACAGAAGAAGTTCCTGGTCTAAATCATTGTCCAGACTTCTGAAGGATAGGATATCAGCTGTGGAAGGAAGTGAAGGAAACAATGTTTGCTTAAACTTTTAACTTTTTGCTTTGACTTTCTGACATATCTATGTGGCCACCATAGTTAGGGCACTGGGATTTTTTTAATCACCTTGTTTAAAATGAGGTATAATTACTTTTGTAATAATGTTGTAGACAGCCGAATTAACTAGATTTTATCTCTAATTTTTGGACATTAGGATAAAAAGTTACCGTTCAGGCTTTATCTAATTAAAACGACCCTTAAAATGTGTTTTGTATTCTTAGTAAAAGGAATCTGCAAGAATCTGTCATCCGCGCCACCAGAATTATGTCAACCCTGGGAACCCTCCTTTATTTTGGCTGCCTGTTCAGGTGCCTTTTTCTGCAGCTCTGAGATCTGAGGAGGATGGCTATGCATTGCCAAGGTTTAGAGGTCAAGTTTTGGGAACTTCCAGATTAATACCATGTTGCTTTTTTCTTTTTTCTTTTTCTATACGGGCGGATGGTCATGCAGGATTTTCCTGCTGTCACCAGCAGAGGGCACGTGGAGAACGCACCTGACCTGGTTTCAGACTCCGCCTACTACAGCAGCTTTTATCAGCCGTCTCTGTTTCCGTACTACAACAACCTGTACAACTATCCGCAGTACCCCATGGCCTTGACTGCTGAATCTCCTTCCGGGGACATGGGAAACCCTCTTGGGGGATCCCCGGTGAAGAACAGCCTTCGCAGCCTCCCAGCACCTTATATGCCTGGTCAGGCAGGAAACCAGTGGCAGGTAAGATGTTACCCAGAGAGTGAACTGGCTACGTGAAAACCACACACACACAGACACACACATGCCGAACACTTCTCGTATGTATAAGCACATTATACGAAAGATGTAAAGAATTTTTCTCTCTGCACATCAGATTATTTAACCCCAGACATTGTCTGCAAGGAACTGTAAAGAAATATGCATATATTTGTGTGTCTTTTCATTTTCTCATTTTCTAATGTCATTTTGCATAAATACCCAGTTGGCCATAGTCAGATTCAAAAGTAGCTTACTATATTATGCCCCACCTTCCCCTGCCTTGCCCCCGTTTTCTTTGAGCAGCATAGGAAATGTTGGGTGCGTCTTCCGGATGGCAGTACTCTTCCTGATGAATGTTACCCTGGGAGTGAGACGTGTCCAAATCTGTATGTATGTTCGAATGGAAGAAAGGTAAGAAGAGGAATTAGGTCACTGCTGTGCTGGGCCTGTGTGGGTGTGTTTTTAGCTGGGAATAGAGGCCAGTCTTTCATACTCTGAAATATTTAAAACAGTGTGCAATTTAAAAATAGTGTGCAATTAAGAGCTTTTTAATATTTGGGGGAAAACAGCGTTTTCATGATCAGGGAAGGAGCGTTTATCAGAGCTGTTCTTTTCCCTCAGTTTTGACCATTCCATCGTGCCACTATATTAGAAACAGTTTCAAGGCACTGAAAGCATTTTCAGGTGGGATTACCACATGGTGGGAATGTGTATAAACATGAGCCCTTGGACTCAACACCTCCAAGCCCGCTCTAGCCGTAAGCTGTTATCATTCTGTGATAAATGTTCTCGTTTTGGATGCATTTACTGTATGTAAACTTTCTCAGCTGGGCATGGATTCCCAGACAATGCAACTTACACATTTAGGTGTTCAGGGCAAATCTTTGACCTTCTTATGTCAACTTTTTAAAAATGTGACTTGAATTTTTTTGAGCTATACTCTATTCTATTTCTCTTTTTTTAGGTGTTGGGAAATTGTTAATATTCAAGCCACCCCACTTTTTGGTTTCTCTCACTATTCCTAGGGATCTGACTTTTTCAGCATATTAATATGTCAGCGTTAATACCCTGGGCTACCCATTTTCATACATTTTATTTTTAGAATCATACTTTTTAGAAAGAGAACTTAGAACATTGGTGTTAAAATTGAGGGGTAGTATGAGTATCAAAGGAAAAGCAGTGATTTATGGATCTTTAAGCTGGGCCCCTACGGACCTTTCAAAGTGCCATTTGGATTTTATGATTTGAGGCAGGTTCTAGGTTGATTTCTACTAAAGACTCTCCACTCTGAATGGAGAAAGACTTCTCTTGTAGTTATAAAAACAAAACAGTTTATCCTGCAGATTCCCCAGAAGAGTTTCCCGGTTTTCTGGCTGCTTCCAGGCTTTAAGGATAAAGTATGGAGGGTCTCAACCTGCTGGCTTAAGAGAAAAAGGATGAGAAAGAAAAATCTTAGGTGTTTTCTTAAAGAAAGACAGCTCGTGGTCAGCTTTACAGAAGAGTCAGAAATCTCCTAAATTAATTTACCCTCTACTTTGGCAAAGTCTTTCAGGCATATGATGCCTGACACGCTAATGTTTATTCTTACTCCACCTGGAAGACCTGGGAAGGGCATGGCAGAGGTCTTGGACTGCCTTGGTGATGCCTGACAAAGGTGCTGTCTTAGGGATAGCTAGAAGATGGGGCTCTCCTGCAATGGCAGTGTTGCCTGGCCTTGGAAGACGGTCTCAGCCACTGTGCGAGGCAAGATTCCCCTGAGGACAAGTCCTTGCGCCCTTGCTAGAACAGTCTGCTGGGTCAGAATCCCAAGCCTCTCTCTTGTTTGTGCCTGCACACGGAAAGCCGCTTTAATCGCGTTAGGTCTGTCTCCAGCCTGTGGAGATTTGTGGCCCAATCATAGGTTCCTGTCCTGTTGGGAAACAGGAATAACATTTGTGACACTGGTACAAACTCACGATGAATAGCTGGTTTCCCCCGACCGGCGGCTCAATTTCACTTCTACATTTAATTGCCTGCAAAAGCTGTTTATTGCCGTATGCACTCCTCCACGGCAACATTATCTCTTAAATAAACATGTGGTACCAGGTTGACAAGGGAGAGGTGCATATCAAGTGAGTAGAAATAAATATGGGAGGACTCAGAGCCGTACCTGAACATCCTTCCCACCCCTGTGGCAGGCACCTTCTTGATTGCTCTCCGGAAGCTTGTGCCACATTCAGACCACAGTCAGGGTGTGGTCAAATGGCCACACAGGTGATGTCCTTCCTTTTGTGGTTATTTTGGGCCCCGTCTGAAATGTCTCATGATATGCTTGTCCCTTTATGATCAGGCACCTCACTGGAATGCATTCACTCATTAAATAAACATGCATGGAGGTCCTACTGTGTGCTAGGGAATCTACCGCTGAACCAAGCAGACAAAAATGAAAAGCTGGTCTTGGGAGAAGGCTGCTATTACTACCTGGGAAACAAGAAGAGAAGGTGGGGGCAGTTTAAAGTAGCCTGGGTTTGAAACTGAGATAGAGGCAGGAAGGAAATTCTGTTCTGGCACCTGTAGCTTGGAACACAGAGGAAGGCACCCCCTTGTGAGCATTCCTGGGATGGCCTTCCAGCACCTGGTGTTCTTGATTCTATAACCAGCAGCTTGATGGGCCCTTGTTTTCACACTGCCTCCTCTTTTCTTAGCTTGGCTCAGCATCAGAACATCCTGTTAGCTAAAAGAAGGTTGAGAAGAAGTGAGTTCTTGAGCATGTGCTTGTGGAAATGGTCATAACCCCTTCACTTCTGTGTCCTGGGAGCTTCACAGGAGGATCCAGCAGTGAGGGAGGGCGGGGGGAGCAGGATATGAATCCGAAGTTTAAACTGGACTCCCATTCCCAGGGAGACATTTATAGTTAACAGTAATTAGTTTAAAATATTCCCAAATTTTTAAAAATGTTATGTCAGGAAGAAGGTAGCATGCAAAATCCACTTCAATTTTTTTACGTTTTTATTGATTTTTAGAGAGAGAGGAAGGGAGAGGGATAGAAAGCTAAAAACATTTATGAGAGAGAAATATCAATGGGCTGCCTCCTACATGCCCCCTACTGGGGATCAAGCTGGGAACTTAGGCATGTGCCCTAACTGGGAATTGAAAACCAGTGACCTCTTGGTTCATGGGTCGATGCTCGCTCAGCCGCTGAACTACACCAGCCGGGCTCTTGCTATGACATGCACTGATCACCAGGGGGCAGACAGTCAACTGCTTGACCAGTCGCTATGACGTGCACTGACCACCAGGGGGCAGACGCTCCGACTGGTAGGTTAGGTTGCGGGTGGGGTCTGGCTGATCAGGACTGAGCGAGATGGGCCAGACATGCCCTGGAGCCCTCCCGCGGTCCCTCCCCGAATGGCCAACCTCCTGCGTCCCTCCCCGGCCCAATCATGCACTGGTGGGGTCCCTCCGCCTGGCCTGTGCCTTCTCGCAATCTGGGACCTCTCGGGTGATGTTGGAGAGCTGGTTTCAGCCCGATCCCGCAGGCCAAAGAACCCCACTGCTGCATGAAATCATACACCAGGCCTCTAGTGTACACATATGTTCACAAAGGAATGGCTATTTAGTCTTGTTCTACATGATCATGACAGCCATCCTCTGATTTTTATTATAGTTTCCTGAAGGAATTGCTGTTTTGTTTCACAGGAAGTTTAATCACTTCATGCTTTCGATCCTGTCTTGAGGGCAGTGTGTAAGAATGGTGCTGTGATGATGATGTTCACGGTGGCTCTTGCTCTGGAACCAAAGCTGAGGGAGCTTGTGGGCATTTTAGAAACTGAACTCAGATGGTGAGAGGTGGGTGAGGAATGTTCTTTACAGCAGTGCACAGTAGGGTCATTAAAAAATAATATATATATTAATAATATATATATTATATTGATTTCAGATAGGAAGGGAGAGGGAGAGAGATAGAAACATCAATTCAGAGAATCATTGTTGGCTGCCTCTTGCACACCCCCTACTGGGGTTCAAGCCTGCAACCCTGGCATGTGTCCTGATTGGAAATCAAATTGTGATCTCCTGGTTCTTAGGTTGGCACTCAACCACTGAGCCACGCCTGCTGGGCCACAGCAGGGTCATTTTTGCAGAGTATTTGGTTAAAAACCTGTGGATTATAAGAGAGTAGAACTGATCTTGCATGATTATAACCTGCTGGATTTTGCTTCCAGCAAACCCAGATTCTTAGGGACTTGGGGGCACTCCAGTAAAACCTGGGCTGTACAGGTTAATTCCCATTCTTAGAGGAGTTCAGTTTGATCTGGACTGAGTTGAAAACCTTCGAAAGGGCTGATGTTCTCCAGGGACTGCTCCACAATCCAGTTGGAGGCAAAAAGAAATACATTATCAGTTTGTTGTGAGATTTATATTTTGTTACACAACCTGACCTGACACAACAGCATCAGGTTGGTAAATTATGCAATCATTTGGGGATTCTGTAATCTTCTTGAACGTTAGATATCATGGTTTTGAAAACTTTCAGATTCAATTTGCTTGGGCTGGTGCCAAAATCTTATCTAGTTATGTTTTCCATTTTACTTTTTTCCCTTGTTATAAATGTGAATATGATATAAAATCAGTTGCTTATCAGGATGTTTCAGTATGTGGATGAGTGATTATCAAATTTCTTGAGAGTCCCTATTTCTGTGACCTTTTCAGTGTCCTTCATTAGTTGAATAAAGGCCAGAATCAAGGCGATGCTTAATAAAAGTTCATTTGCTCTATTTTTTTTACTATGTTAGGAATACCATAGAAAAACAAAAAGAACAGAGTTACAAAAATTTTCCACCATATTACAGAGCATGTATAAAAAAATCTCCTGCATAGATTCATTGATCACTTATCAAGCGCCAGCTCCTGGCCTGTCTCTGAGCTAGACTGTCCCGACCCTCAAGTACCCATAGTGGGGTGGATGGGAAAGAATGTAAAGACACTGGAGTTCTGTATCACTG